GAGTCCATCTATCTGCGATCTGGGATCGGGGGGGTACACGTTTGCTAGTGAATCGCTGATGACTAAACATGTCCATTTATGTTTGGAAAATTAAATTACATGGAAACTTTGCAATAGTTATTCTCGGCTGCTGCATAATTCATTATGGCTCTGGCCAGCAACTATGTGAAAATTTCGATAACTCACAAGTTTGAAAATTTGTGCACAAATTAAATTAAGCTGTCACTGCCCCTGCCCCTGCCGCCAACCCCTACCCTACTGCCCATCGTCCATACTGTAGTTGTGGTGGGAGAGAAGTTGAGGACACAACACTCAGGCCACAGAAACTTTCTTTGCAAAGTGTCAAGTTTTAGTTGTCGTAGACGTTTTCCGAAATTATTTTTTGAAGTTTATTACAAGAAGGCGTGCGCGTGTCCAAGGATATACTCGTACTATTCTTACACTTACGAGTGGCTCTGAATGGATGGAAGGGAGTCTCTGACTCCGACTGCGACTCGTGTGTGCTCTCTGGCGCATAGAGATCATTAACCAGCACCAGCCCCAGCCCTAGCCTGGTCCCAGAGCTGCCCAACGTAAGTCAAAGTTTGGTGCAGTGGGAAATTATGTCACCCCGGCCAGTGGGTGCTCATTTGAAGCATTTGTCCAGGACATGACAAAAGTTCCTTAGTGTAAATTCAATAAGGCAACATTTTGCATAAACGAGGCAGGCTTCCAGCCCAACTTTGGTGCTGCTTCTGCCCCAAAAATGGTAAATTTTAATTTAATGAACCCTTTTTTCCCAGAGTTCGGGCCTCAAGCCCACCTTTTGCATGATAAGTGGAGGAAAGTTCTGGTGGCTTGAATTAGGTTGGATCGAGAGGAGCGGAGGGCATATATGGCAGAGGCTGGATCGATAAGTCCTCTGTGTGTCTTCCCCATCGAGGTGCTGGTTATTCTGAAAAGATTGACGTCAGTCCCATTTTGTCAGCTGCCTCACTTCCGCCATGCCATGCGCCATGCCATTGTCGCCCATTGCACTCAAGGAATTGGCAACTGACAACTGGCCTTTATTTTAACCACCTCCAACTTTTCGCAGCCGTGGGCAACAACTCATTTCAGTGTTTATTCATGAGGCAGCAACACTTTTCTTAATAAGTCTTCATGCCCAGTGTCCCAGGTCGAATGCCCGTTGGCCACAGTCTGCCTCCGGTCAGCCCGGCAGCCTTCAGTGTGGTCCATCTGGCATTGAGGTTTCCCCTTCCCCGTCCCTGTCTCCGCGGCACCGTGCACTCACGTCCAGAGAAATTGCCAGTTATGTGAAGAGTGTCACATCTTCTGCTGCTGCAGCAGGAGACAGATGTTGTGGTCCTGCGACAGCCCAACGACTGAACCCAACCCAGCCCATTGTGTTGTGGCACAGTTGGCCGGCAATTGACCCACGCCTCGCACTTATTTATTTGCATTGTGCACTTTACAGAGAACGAGAATATTTGTTATAAATACGGGCCAGCAGTCCAAGCAGCCCAAGCAGTTGCTCTGTGTCAATTTAAATGAGTTCGAGGCGTGTCAAATCTCCCCAGGGGCTGCAGCTGGGTCTGGACTGGGGATGGATTGCGCCTGCGGAGCCTGGCTCATTGAGAGGGAGTGGCAGAGAGAGAAAGAGTGGAGTGTGGAAAGGATGCATGATGTACGGATTGGGGCCAGATGCATATGCAGGAACCGGCCATATCGCTTATCGCCGCACTGCATGGCATTGTCAGTATTTATTATGCACTCAGGCCGCCTCATTTGCGTGCTGCTGTGCTTTAAGTGATTGCAAACTTGTTTGGTGGCAGCTTTAATGCGGTCGCTAGCCGCATCAAACTGTGTCCCCGCTCCATTAATCAATTCACTCATGCAAAATGAATGTACATTTTCGTTAATAACGCTCCGTGGGCTGCCAGCCAGCACGTTCGATGCAAATTAAACGCTTTTCGTCAGCACTAATTTACCCATTAAACATCGGTAAATATCGCTGCCAATTCGCCGCTTTTTCCCAAAAGAGTCCTTAGCTCATGTTTAATAACTAAGCAATGGGGGAATCAATGGGAAAATCAGCATTGTTGCAATCTTCAATCTGCAACCTGCAACCTGCAACCAACCTCTACCCAGTGCCACGGTCTGGCCCCATTGGCGACACCAAAGCGAGAGTCAAGTGCTGGCACCTCCGGCGTCTGCTTCGCTCACTGTAAATTTGATAGGGAATCAATGGAATCAATTTACGCTCCTCGCCAGCACAATGTCTGGCTGCAGTTGTGAGTGCAGCCAGGGCCATGGCCACGGCCACAGCTACATGCGATGGCAATGGCGATGGGGATGGCGATAGGATGGCGATGACGATACGGTTGGACTTGGTGCACAAGGGACGACAACAGAGAGACAACGACGACAACCACAACGTTAGTTTGCTATTGGAAATGCACACTTGACATCCTGCGACACGCAGGTCAGGAGGATATCGTGAGAAAAACTAACAGTGACACTGCTTCGAGCTCCGACCAGAGCAGAGCAGTGCCAATCTGTGAAACACTCGTCAGCCACACCACCACTGATTGTGGTTGGAGGAGTGTACGGGGGGTGAAACCATCATAAATAAATCAATTTGTAATTCGATGCGCGTAGCTAATTGATTTTAATTGTGCTCTGCGGTCTGTCAAACTCAATTTGGGGACTGTGCACTCTACACCACAGCGCAGCGCATCGCATTGCATAACATTGGAGGAAAAAGGATATGGCCCTGGGCAGGAACAACACGTTCCCTACCGGCTAATTGCACGTAAATAAGCTGTGGTCCAATATCCGAGGCTGGACACGGACTCGAACACGGCTCTTGAACATTGGGACAGAACAGGACATGATGTGTCTGCCTTTTCCGTGTCGCTCCACTCGCATCTGCAATGCAAATTAGTTGACTTCAATTAGCAGGCCCTGCATCATTTTGCTGCACAGTGACTGTACAGAGCCTACTCTTTCTAGTCCATGTTCCGGTAAAGGGACAAAAAAACTCTTTCTAATTGGCCCGCCCCCAGCCCATTTAGTGCCCGAATCAGAGCCATGTGAGCACGGATGTTGTTGCGGTGCGTGGGGCAATGTTGATCGATTAATTGAAGGATCTCATTGCGGGTGAGGGAGTGCTAGTTCTCAATGTACGAGTACGAGTACTGTGTCTCCTAACTTATGAATGCGTTTTGCGAACAGGTTTCATTCAATTTGCAAACTGAATTTAACATTCATCTGATAGCTTGAACATTTTCATTGTTGAATGTGCTGAAAACATTTTGAATCGAATTAGAACGAGTATATCGGTTGCTTTGTCCGAGATCCTTGTGGCAGGGCAGCAGGTTGCAGCTAACAAGGATTTTTCGCATTTGCAACCATCAGCGAGAGAGAGAGAGAGAGAGAGAGAGAGAGGCAACCGCAGAGGTGAAGCTCCTGTAGTCTGATACTCGTAGATACATTTTGTTGCTATCATCTGCAGAGTGGTTGAAATTATTTCGGTGCTTGTTTGTTTGCAATTTAATTTAAATACACACAGAGGAACTTTCCAGACGCTTGGCAAACGAAACCGAATGCAAAGATATTTATATATTTATTTTCGCATTTTTCGGAAATATTTCCCATGCAAAATCACGCACATTTCAAATGTTGCTGTTGCCATTACTCTGCTGTTGCTTTTTTGTTGCTTTTTCCATTGTTGTGGCTATTGCCATGCATCTCTAAAAACACACTTTTATACCCAAGCATACACACAAGTGTGTGCGTCTTCGAATACATTGTGGAAACGGCAAAAGCGAAAAGGGATCCTTATATATAGTATATCTGCAATTATTTGTGACAACAGAGTCGGAGCGGAATCAGAGACCCCTTTGGCTCGTCGAAAGTTCTGCTGCTTCTGCTGGAAGTTCAAGGAGCAGCTCTCGGCCGCAATTGAAAAGAAATAACAAAGCGCGCTTCAATAATTTTCCTACAACTCGTTCTAGAGATTTTACTACTAATGCAGGGGTACGAGTGCTGGGCTGGAGGAGGGCCCAACAAAATATAATACAAAATGCGCATGCAGAACGGAAACGGCAACGGCAACGCCAACCAACAAAAAATTGCAGCGAAAAGAACGGAACGGAACGGAACGGAAAGGACGGAATGGAACGGACAGCAGCGGAAAAGGGAGTATGCAGTGCATTGTACTAGATTCTTTCCTTTGCATTTCTTTCAGCTCTTCCGTTGCGTAACGGCAAGTTTTTCACACTTTGGCAGGCAAACTAAATGCAGACAATAACCAAAAGCCAGTCTGGAGAGAGGGAAGGGAAGAAGGGCCACTGACACCGCCTTTGTTGCAAGAATGTTCCCTAAGATTGCTTAACGCCAAAAATCAACAGTGGGAATTTGTTGAGTCGGAAAATACATTGGGTCACCGGTCACGCTGTAACAAAAAAATACAAAAATTGCGGACATCCGAGGGGAAAAAAAAAGAAATAGACGGATTTGCTTTTAAAATTAACACACACTTTTTTTTATTTAATTTCACCACCATTTACAATATGCCTATACAAGGCTTTGATTTATTTACTTTAAATTAAATTAGTATTATTTTAATTTGGTTTTTGCTTTAAATATATTTTACACACATTTTCTTATCTCTTTGATTCTTGTTTTTCCATTTGTATCTCTCGCTCGCTTCTGCATCATTTTCTGTTGTATTTTTCACATTTAAAGTAGATTCAGTATTTTGATGTACTCTGTATGTTTTCTGTAAGTTATCTTTGAGTTTTCTTGGGTTTTCCATGGGTTTTTGTGTAAACATTTATATTTGGATTGTGTACTTATGTGGGCCAGTGGGCCACAGAACAGGAGTGCCAGGCCCAAGCCTTTCGTGGAGTGAGCCCCCAGCTCTGTGCTCTGCATTTTATAGACTCTTCTCTGGTTCATCTTGCTGTTTGGGTTTTTTAGACTAGTCTAGTTTATAAATGTTTGCTTATCATTAGTTTGTTTTTTGGTTTTGTTCTCTTTTTAGCTCGCTAGTAGACAGCACACCTCAAAAGTGCGTTGCAATGAAATGAGAATGAAAAGCAGTCATCAAATGAAGATCATCGAACCGAACGCCAAACGCAACTCAGGCTTGCATTAAAAAATATGTTGAATTACTCGTACTTAAGGAATTAACTAATTGGTAACCGTTAACACATGTCGCACGCCGGACAGCACTCGCTTAGGCCTGGCCTGTCCGTGCTACTGGCCCGGCCAGTGGCTGCGCGGGCGCCTTGGAGGCGCTGCAGCTGGACAGAAGGGAACGCGGCTGCTTCTTGGAATGTGTCATCAATGTGGCGGCTGCTGGTTCCGTTGCAGCTTCTTCGCGGGTGTCTGCAGCCACAATTAGCCCATGGCCCATCAGGGAGCTAATAATCAGGGCTGCCAGGGCGCCCATTACGAGGGGCGCCACGCAGACGCTGGGGCTGGGTCGAGGCGAGGCGGACGATGTCGAGAAATACGAACTAAAAAAGTTCGTCAGGCTCGAGTCGGATGAGAGTGTAACTGCGGTCCGGAAGCAGCCAAACAAAGAAAGGAGGGAGAGCGGAAACGGAAGGGAGATGGATCAGTAACGTTATTGCATAATTGGCTTAGGCCTGACGAGACTCACCTCGTGCCGGTATCGGATCCTTTTGCGGAGTGCCCAATTCAATTTCCTTGTACTCCTGATACAGGTCGCCGATTTGTGCCGAGCATCGCAGCAGCAGTCCGCCCGGATTCGGATTGGGTGCGTAGATAGGCCCCCCATGGCCATAGACAGAGTTCAGCCCGTAAACGCCATTGTAGATGGCCGGATTGACGCTGGAGAAGTGCACACCCTGCAGCTGCAGCTTAACCGAGATGCGGGAGGCAATCAGATTATCGATGGTTCGTATGTACTGGGTCTCCACATTGGTTATCTGCAATGAAAAATTGATTTGGTTACACACAAAGACTGGGAGTGTGGCAGGGATTAACATTTTTTAGGACATTTTTTTTCTCCTGTTTGTTTTACACTCGCAAATGCATTTGCATAATTCAAGCTGCCCAGACGAGGGGATTCTGGGGAGTGGGAGTGGGAGTGGAAGGGAGCGGCTCAACATTTGGCAACGTTTAGCCCTCACGCTCGTAATAGTTTTGTTTGTACTCCTTGGACTGGGGACCAGAGAGAAAAAACTTTTGCCAGCCAGCATCTTGTCGCCATTTGCAAGTTGGCACAGTTCAGCGAAGAAGAGCCGTGCTGGTGCTATGGGGGGGGGGACAGTTGCCACATGTGCTGGGAGACACTTGTGTATGCATGGAAATTATGTATCAAGGAACTTTATCTGTGTTAATGTAATGCAGCAAAAAGCAGCGGCGTCTGAGCCAAACACAAACACACAAAGCGGCTGCGAAGAGAGAGAGCGGAAAAAAAGAAGTGGAGCCCTGGCCGAGCAGGAAGCCTCACACAATTGCACACATTAGTGGCTGCGGCGTCGCCAGCAGGACATGCTTGCTGGGTGGCACACAAGGATACAGACATGGACATGGACATGGACATGGAACGGGCTCAGCCGTAAGAGCCGAAACAGCGCCAGACGACACATTTGACGAAAGTTTTGCCAGTTTTCTGCAGGCTTTGCCTGGCCGAGCCGTCCTCCTCCACTCTGCCTTTGGTGCTGTCTTTTGCGCCATTTCTGCCTTTCATTTAACTTGCATCTGTATTGCTCTGTATCTGTATCTCCATCCATATCCGTAGTATCCCCCATCCGCATCCGCATCCAAGCCTCGTGTCCATGTGCTCGCTGCGTAAGTCCACTTTATTTTCGCCAGCTCTAAGACGCTTAAACTTGCATTTGGCTTAAATGCTGCCAGCAGCTCCTTCATGCGAGAACAGCTTTTATGCTTAATGGCAGTTATTTAGTGCAATTCACTGTAAAATTGTTGCCATAAGAGAATCTACCGCTCGCCTTCTCCAAGTCTCTTTTTCTGCATCTACTATATTTTTATATGTACATATATCCCGCACATATATATGTGCCCGCTTTGTGTATTTCTGTGTATGTGCAAGGATTTGTGCTTTGATAAATATTTTCTTGTATTTTTTTTGCCCCTACGCATGTGCATTGCATGCCAAAAAGCAGATGTTTAAGCAGCAAAACTTCTTTTTGTGTTCACGTATTTTACTTGCAGCTTTTCCTTTCCACATATTTTCCTTTTCCTTTCCTCTGCTGTGCATACAACAGAAATTATATATTTTTAATAGTTTTGTGCAGTTTAGTGTCGGACGACAGCAAATGTGCCTCTTAGACATGCAAAGACGACAGAATATTGTGAGAGAAATTCAACAATAAATGCACATCGTAGTGTACAAAGGCTTAGAACCGAGTTCACAAAAAAAAGAGAAGGGATGTGTGAGACGCTTCTTACGCGTCACAACTTTTATACCCGGCACTCAGTACTACGGCGTTTTGTCAAATTTTAAACTTTGTCTTCAACTGTCATCTACATCTACAAAACATTTCTCACACCAACACGCTCCTTCAGCTCGCCGCCCTTCGCTGACCCACCACTGCAGACTCGCGGCAGAGTCAGAGTCAGAGGCAGCGCCAGCACTCAAAAAAAAAAAAAAATATATAAACTGCGGGAGGGGTGGGTTAAAGGTGGGCAGAGGCAGAGGCATGGGCAGAGGGACGGCAGAGGCCGAGTGAAGCAGAAGCAGAGTGTGAATGAGAGAATGTGAAAAGAAAGGTGGGTTTAGTCACTGCAAATTAATTTCTTTATTGTGGCCATAATAATGATCCAATCGGATCCCAATTTGGTGATAGATATGGTCATTCCCTACGGAATGGCGTTTTTAGTTTTCTTTTATCTTCAAGACTGTAGATTTGGGAGGTTTTCGCCATTTTGCTGAGGCGGAAGGGGGCGGGGGTAATTTTTGAAATACACTGGTTTCAGTGTGAGCATACAGCAATCCGGAGCCAAAATTTGGTGGCTCTAGCCGACAAACAAGACGGACAGACGTACAGACAGACATGGCTCTATCGACTCGGCTATTGATGCTGATCAAGAATATATATACTTTATATATACTATATTACATATATATATTATATATACTATATATACCTTCTGTGCGTTACATACAACAGCTATTCGCACAAATACAATATACCCTATTTACTCTTCGAGCACCGGGTAAAAAAACAGTCGTTGGGGGATCGGAGTGCCAATGCCATGCTAATACCACTAATACTGGTGTGGGGTAAACATTATATCGGTTTATTTTGCAATGGTAAACACTTCGGAACATTTTTTGCTAATGCAAATTTCATTTCATTCAATTTTGGAATTAAACTTGAAAGTATCGATACTGACTGGGATGCCACTCTTTTCATTTATTGGACCATTGTACTCTAAATATCGTGTGTCCGCTCATAGCCGATAATTGTCACAAGAACATGTATCGATATATGCAAAAAAAGAGTTTGCAGCACTTTTATTTTTTCAGCGAAATAAATTAAATTTCTGAAAGTTTTGTTCTCTTGTAAGTTTTCCTTAAAAACAGGCAAATTGTGAATAAATGCGAATGTGAATTTAAAGTGCGTTCCTTTGATACAATTTTATAGGCTAATTGGATTACAAAACGAACAAAAATGGCATCAGCAAGCAGCATAAAGCTTTACGGTGGCCGCAATATGGGCTGCGTGGTGGAGCGAATTGAGTGGAACAATAAAATGGATCTATTTGCCTTTGCTACAGATAAGGGAGAGGTGGTTATACAGCGGCTGAACTGGCAGAAGATCGCATGCTTTCCACCGCCCGTCAAAAGTGCCACAGTGCGTTCGCTCTGCTGGCAATTGGACGACTCGCTGCTCGCCGTGGGCTACAGCCATGGAAAGGTGGCCATACTGGATGTCAAGACCGAGACAATAATCTTGAGCCTGAGCTACGACGTGGACATCAGGAAGGTCTACTTTAGCAGGACCATCGACTGCCAGGAAACAGTGGAGGTCCACACATTCAAAACTTTGAAGGACAAGCACAATAACTTTCTGCCCAAGCCACGGCTGCTGCTCAGCAGGGACCCATCCCTGACGGCGCAAGACCAGAACCCCTTGCCAGAAGGTTCGCCCTACTTCATGATCGTTGTACTGTGTAACGGAAAGATCCATCTGCTGCTGTTTGGTGCCCTGCAGGTGGCCAGCATCGATCTCACCCAGCACGTAGTGCACCCCGAAGAGTGTGCAGTCTACGATGTGCAACTCAGCGGGGACTTCAATGCCATTTACGCACTGCTGCGCGATGGAAAGCAGCTGAAGATGCTCCACTTCCACAACCAGTTGCTGCAGGACTCCATGGTGCCAATACTAGGCGTGGCCAGGCTCTGTGCCCACATACAAGAGGCGAAAAATTACATGAGATACACCGTGAATTTGCTCAGAGCGGACCTAGAGGCTGTCCAGCTGGAGATGGACAACAAACTGGCAGCTTTCGCCAGCTCCCAACCATACGCAAGCACATCCGCAAATTTTCTGGAGCTGCACATCTTTGGCTTTGCCACTCTGGAGGTGGAGGAATTTCTGACAAGCTCTGAGAAAGAATTCAAGAAAATGGCGAAAGGTGTGGAGGTCAGCCTCAACGACATGCAGGGCCTGGTGTTCACGGACCTCAAGGGAGGGGCCATCAGGCTGTTCTACTTTCTCAATGCGATAGTCGGCCTGAGTCGCATGCCTCATTTCTACGAGTCGCTCATCGTGGAGGAGGTGGCCGTGGAGGCTATGCGTGCCTGCGGATCCTATTACCTGAAGGCTTGCGAGCTGCAGCGGACAATCGATACGCTGGTCAAGGAAATTATGCTCTTTCACACCTGGCTGACATTCACCGTAATGCGTCTGTCGCACCAGGAGATACCCGAGAATATGCTCCTCAGCGAGGCGGAGAACAGTGCTGTGGTTGAGCTCCTTAGCTCGATGGAGCCGGATGCAGAGGATAGCAGCGATGAGGAGGAGAAGGCTGTACCCAAACGCAGCCTCTTCAATCTGGAACGTGTAAGTCAGTATTTGGAGAATTCCTGCCTGACGCAGCTCCCTCCCGAGGACCCCGACCAGCTGTGGGATCAGATTGTAGCCGAGCAAAGCTTCATGGGCGCGTCCAATATATTCGCGCCACATGACAAGAACCTGTCGCTGGTGCAGCAGGGCGAAAAGTTGTTCAATGCCATCGAAGGCATCTGCCAGAGGCCGACGAAGAGCATCAGAGCCAGCTTTGCGCTCAGCTCTTCCATTATCTGTAGCGAGTTTTCTGCTGTGGACAAAACGCAGGATCGGGATTTTGTGACAAGCAGTTTTTATGTCAACGAAGCTGCCGGATGCGACATGTTCGCCATCGCCATTAGCTGGGAGGAGGCCCTGATCCTGCAGTTTAGCCGCGCGGACAATTGTTTCTTGCGCTGCTCAAGCATCCACCTTAAGCCGGGCCTGTTTACCAAGCGCTTGCAGGAGGACTACAACAACCTCCGCTTTGTGGATCTGCAGTTCTACAACGACTCCACCCTCACCATACTGACCCAGAGCACTTCCTCCGCGGAGGGTGTGCGTCCCCACAGCTGCTTCATTCAGCTATCGCTCCCTGAGGTGACGAATCAGTGCACCCAGCACCATAAATCGATGCACCTCAATCTGTCGAATGCAACAGTAACGCGCAGCATCTACGACATCGCTGGCCTGGACGCCTTCAAGTGTTTGGATGGAGTTTGTGATATGCTCGCTGTCTCCGGCGGCCGCAGGGTGATCACAGTTCTATCCGACAGCAATCGCATGATGACAGTCTTCGAAACGGAGGTCGATGAGTCGGAAGACCTGGACATGTCCGAAATATCGTTGCAACAGATCAGCGAGGAACCCAATCCATTCTTCGATGACACAGAACAGCTGGTGGCAGAGACTTGATGTTAGCCATGAAAATGTGATTTAAAATTAATTCATTGGAGGAAGTACGAGAATAATTGTTTCAAAGTAGCAAAGTTCTTGAAGCTGTTCTTGTTCAGTAACACCAAACGGAGATGGGTCTAGCTGCAAGCATAAATTGCCTGCAGCAGGCACTCATTCAGCCGGAACCAGACAATGCTAAAAACCAATAAATATATTTTATACGAGCACTCCATGCTGTACAATTGTGTGTGCAGTGCATTGCCAGCGTATCAATAACAAATAAATTGCGGATAGCACTGCAATATCTTTTGGGCCGATACGTCACTGCACCCCGGTTGTGTTGCTGTTGCCAAAAATACACAAAAAAGAAAAACTATGGCACAAAAGGAGCTGCCAAATAATGCTCCGTTAGGGGTTGCCGTTGCCTCCTAGGCTGAGCAGCTTTTTTCAATTTTCCGCTAAATTTGGCAGGGCTCAAGTGCTATTTGTCTTCATTAATGCGAATGCGAATGCGCCTAGAGAACTTGGCAAATGCCTCTCGAAGATTCGGTTTGGTTCGCTTCAGTTCGCTTTGGTTCGTTCAACCCTCCTCCGACCCGCCCGGCAAATGCTGCGTAACATTTTTAAGCCAACGACGCCAAATGACATGCAGCAGTTATTAATTGGCAATTTACATGCCAAATGATTAATGCCCAACCAGGCCAGAAACGACCCGGGCCTGGCTACGGCACCGGATTCGGATCGGACGGAAGCCAGACCCCAAAAATAGAGCCACAGCAGCCTTAAACCAAAGGCACATATGTCACACGGCGCCAGGGGGTTGGTATGTGTGATGCTGGCATGTGCTTGGGGGGGTTACATTTGCGGTGGGGTGCGGTGGTCGGACCTCTTGCAAATTACTGCTGTGGCATTTCACCGCAAAAACTTTTGTCAACATAAAGTTCTGTCCGGGCCCAGGTCTTGGTCTTGGTATTGGTCTTCGTTCCTGGCTCCTTGTTGGCGCACCTTTTAACGTAAACTTTGCTGTGGCACAGACCTTGCTCCAAATGTCGGAAGTGCCGGGGTGTAGGAGCGTGTGTGTATGTGTGTGTCTGTATCTACGTGTGCAGCCGACATCCGCCCCCAACGTTGGCTCCCCCCCC